TCTGCTCTGACCTTTCTTGACCCTCTCACACTGAACCTCAGATCATCGGTCCAATCATCCAACCCCCCGGCTTCTCACACACACCAGACACATGCGCGTTAACGCACCCTGCACTCGGATCTCCAGCTTGGGGCTCTGTTTCCAAACTTGGTTGTCCTCAGTGGCTGCTTCACACCAGTAGGACCCAGAGTGCGCCTCTGAGGCCGTGGGGATCTGGAACTCGGAGGAGAGGCCCTTGCTGCGCACCGTCCTGCCGTCCTTGTAGAAGGAGAAGAGGAGGCGGGCGGCCGACCTGTGCAGGGGCAGCTTCGTCTGACAGCTCAGAGTCACCGGGCTGCCCGCTTGGGGCCCAGCAGAGGGGGTGGCTCTGAGAACTGGAGCTGGAAAAAGTTCTGGGGGAGAGAGAGGTGAAAAAGAAGAGCTTAGGCATCTTACATTCGGGGGGACCCATGACAGGTTACGAACCAGGTCACACTTTCCTCCCCGTCTTTCCCTCAGGGTTGAGCTGTTAGAAAAGTTCTTTCTGAGCCTTTCTGGTTCTCACTCTCTTCCAGCGGACAGCACTAGGAAAGATCCAGAGGTGGGCAAATGCAGCAGGAGTCCCGTCACTCAATCAGCGACCACGGGGAAGCACAGCTCTGCAGGACAGAGCCGTGGGAAACGTGCTGGACTTGGACTGAGCTGAATGCCTCAAAAAGGCAATGCTGAGACGCGGCCCCACCTGAAGCCGCCCTCGGGCACCTGCCAGCACCTGCTCCCAGGCCTTCGGCGACCATCCCACCTCCAACAGAAGGCATTTTGGTCCTTCTGTCTCTCCCCACCTGCCTCTGCCGCAGTGACACTACCTCTAGCTCTCACCTTGGACTCTGATGGCCACAGAAGATGCTGTTTCTGGGCTCCCAGGACCAGGGCTCCTGAAGACAGCGCTGCAGTGGTAGTGTCCGCTGTCTGCTTCTTGCACAGAGGCAATGGAGAACTCCCTGGTAGAGGCAGGGGGACCCAGAGCTGAGCCATCCCGGTAGAAGACGACCTGGGTCAGTGGCCAGTCTTGCCAGGCCTGGCAGCGCAGAACCAGTGGGTCTCCTTCAAATATGGCCCCCGCTGGACCCTGGAGGATCAGCCAGTCTGTGGCCCAAAGCAAGAGCTGAGTGTGACCTATTGACTTCTTGGGGAACCCTCCCCAGGGTTACCCACCATAGAACCCCCCCCAAACTTTTTCTGAGGGTCTAGGTAACACTAGCCTGGCTGGGAGTGTGAAACAACTATTCTGGGGCACAGGACTGAGGGTACCCTGGCTTCTGTGGGCTGAAGATGGGGAAGAGGGTACAGAAGTCCCCCTTATCTGTGGTCTTGCTTCCTGTTACCCATGGTCAACTGTAGTCTGGTAACAGATGATCCTCCTTGTGACCTGTGGTCAGAGGGTCAACAGTAACCTAATGATACGTCAGTCCTACATCACTCACCTCACTTCATCTCATCACGTAGGCATTTTATCATCTCACATCATCACAAGAGCAACAAGGGTGAGTACAGTTCCATAAGATATTTTGAGAGAGAGACAGTCTAGATTCATGTAACATTTTTTATAGTATATTGTTAAAATTCTTCTATTTTATTACTTATTAGTGCTATTAATCTCATACTGTGTCTAACTTATAAATTGAACTTTACCATAGGAGTATATGCATAGGAAAAACATAGACATCAAGGGTTCAGTACTATCTGAAGTTTCAGGCATCCATTGGGGGTTTTGGAACATATCCTGCCAATAAAGGAGGACTACAGTAGTTCATTCCATGGCTAGTTTCCTGGGGCACCTTTCTGAGTGAACTGTGGCATTGAGAGGAGAGGTTTGGGAAATGGGAGCAAGAACAGGCCTGCACCGGTCAGTCCTTCCCAGGACCTCACCGTAGGACACAATCAGATGGAAGGGTTTACTGAAAGTGTAGCCCTTGACCTGGAAGTCAACTTCCCTTGCATCCATCAAGTGCTCATGGGGGTGGCAGCTGCTGTCCGGGGTGTTGACAGGTCCTTCACACTGCAGCGTCTCAAAACTGGCAGCTGAGGAGGGCGTGGTTGAAGAAAAATCCGAAAATGATGCTGTGACTTGGAGAAAGAGGGCAGGAAATTGCCCTCCATCAGGGCCCCTCCCTCTCGGGGGGGAATCATCCCTTTTAGAGTGAGAATAGTGAGACCCCATAACTCTTTTTCCAAGAGATCCATATGGGTTTCTCAGAGTGATACTTTTTGACTCAATTCACTGGCTTCCAGGCATTCTCAGTGAATGGGCTGTGGTTTGGGGAAGAGGGAGGGGAGAAAACAGCAGAACGGTGAACTCACCACCAGTTGCTGGTGCTGGAAACCAGAGGCCAAAGACAACTGATGACCCCAGAACAGGCAGCCACAGGACAGGAGAGAAAGAGAGATGATCAGATTTTATCACTCACGGGGTGTTTACTGTGGGCCAGACACTGCTAGATGCTTTTGCTCATTATCTTATTTAATCTCCATAAGATTTCTAGGTATATGGTTTCACCCCCATTTCATAAATCTTAAGAAACAGGCTTAGAAAAGTCAACTAACTGATTCAAAGTTTAAAAAGAGAGTAGGGAATGGGGCAAGAGAGTCAGGTTTGCACGAATCCAAAATCAGTATTCTTTTTACTTCACCATTTGGACTCGATCTGTGTCAGTCCTCAGACCTTTCTTGGGGGCTCTCTTCCATACTTTCATTTTCCCAAAATCCATTTGGCTCTTCATCCTCAAATATTTCATCTACCAAGCAGCTTGCAATTAGCTATGTCTATCTACCACCTAGTTGTGTCTCTCCTCCTTCCTTTTTCATTTTTCAACCACCTCTACCTTGATGTCCTCTGTCCCTTGAACTTGCCCTGGCGACTGCACAGCCCTTTCTATGTCCTTCTCTCTAGCCCTGACCTTCTAATCCTAGCCTGTCGTGGTAACTATGGAACAATTCTTTCTTTGCTTCCAGATTGAAACTTAGAATTCCACACCACGCCTCCTCAAACTACCCCCTAGCGCCATGGATGATCCAGGCAAGTAAATTCCATTTCTCCCTCTCGATCCCTCTCCCCTCTTCTGGCTCCACGTCCATGCATACATACTCAATTTTCACTCCATCCTTCCCTGACCCACTTGCCCCTGTCCCCTCTACTCCCAAAGGCCCAATACTCTTCTCTAACCATGTACCGTAGCAAGGACCCCTGTACTTCCTTATTCTCATTATATCAGTACCAGGTGCTTTCTTTAGATCTTTCTGCTTCCTTCACCACTGCTACCTCTTTTCAGTTCCTCCACTGTTGACTCAACAAGACCCAGCCTCCTCTCCTTTTTTAAAAATAAAATCTTGTTAGGCTGCCTATCACTTTCACTCAATAAACTATGAGGCGGGTTTTATTATTCTCTCGAATAAGAAAACGAAGTTCATAAATATAAAAAGTGAGTTTTCCCAAGTGACATGGTGCTAGTAAATAGGAGAAGATGGGCTGGAAACCAGAGCGTCTGATCACAAGTCTGGAGTTCTTGCCACAGAACCAGTGCTGTACCTGTATCTTAATGCAACCATTCAGTCCTGTTTCTATTGCTTATTAAAATGATGCAACAAATTATTAAAAAGAGACAAGGCAAGATGCTAAGGATTCAAACATAAATAAGACAGTTCAAACATAAAAGTCAACAACAAAGAAGCATTGTCCCTGCCTGTAAATAACTCGTAGTTTGGTGGATAGCCCGGGCATAAGAGATGAGGAGGAAAAGTAATAAAGAGGTATCATAGGCAGCCATTGGAGCAGAGAGGAGAATTCAGAGAAGGCTTCCTGGTGAAGATGCCACCTGAGCTGAGTCTTCAGGGATGTGTACAAGTCTGTGGGTGAGATGGGGATAGGGG